TGGAAGTACTGCAGAACAAAATTGATCAGTACTTTCCCACCCTTTTAACACAAATGTATGACTGGGTGAAGGATCCTTTCCCTGCATCTTCTGCTCAGCCTGAGAACTTCACTTTGAAGGAAGAGGAAAAATTTAACTTTGTGCACTGCAGTCTGATCATACACTCGAGATTCACTGATCTGCCCACGGACAAGTTCTGGACTTCTGTGAAAGAGGAGTATCCTGCCATTCATAGGAAGGCATTGAACATTGTGCTGCAGTTTTCAACTTCTTACATGTATGAGCGAGCTTTCTCTTATTTAACAAACGTCAAATGCAAAGATGGAAATCATCTTATTTCAGTTGAAGATTAAATCCCTGTGTGCTTATCTCACATTTGGCCCAGAATTGAGTATTTGTGCAGCAAAAAACAAGCACAGGTTACACATTAAAGAGATAGGTTTCATTCTTTATTTTTAGCTTAAGAACACTGTTGATGCATATATACAGGCCTATGCATGAAACAAATATAATAAATGTGTAACTTCTGGCTATATTTGAGCCTGAATGTGCAGGGGTTCCCCAAGGCCTGAAAAATATTTCAAAGGTTCCTCTAGGGTCAAAAGGTTGAGAAAGGCTGAGCTAGAAGCTGCCTTAGCTGAGACTGTCTAGAATGGCCTAGAATCAGGCCCAAAGCAGCAGACAATCCACATCTGTTTCTCCTGCCATTTCGCTTTCAAAGAAGGAAGAATTGCAGTGAAATTCTCCTGGGAGAAGTGTGGCATCCCTGCCCCCACATGCTACAAACGGCTCTACGGGAGCCTCCCAGTCTGCAGGGCCTGATCTTCTCTCCAGCACCCTGCAACCTCCCTTCGCTGTTCAGATATTGAGGAGTGGATTCCTGAGCTTGAATCAGGTCTGGCTTTGGGTTACAGACAGTCCTCGCTTGACAGCCATTTGTTCGGCGACTATTCAAAGTAATAGTGGTGCTGAATGAATGGTGCTTACACCCGCTCCCTGAAGTCACTACTGTTGCAGCAGCACCCCCGTAGTCACTGCACTTATGACTGCAGGGGTGCTTCAACTCCCCCACCCGCCTATCTCCCCCCATCTCTGCCCTTTAAGCAGCCACGCATAGCGGTATTTCTCGGTGGCAGCAGCTGCACTGGCCTGGGGCCTTCGGCAGTCCCAGCTAGCCGCTGCCACTCCTGGGTCTCTACT